CAGAGACCAATTATGTTGTGAGTCTGAGGTGGCCATGGTAATCTAGATGAACGAACCATAGAAGGAAATCGCTTCGTAGGAATGTGAATGTTGTCAATGGGCATATAGATATGGGAGCCAAATTCCGTAGTGCCGAGAAGGGATAGATGGATACCGGCCGCTTTTCTAAGTAATAGCAGTATAAACATTACATAAATTCAAGCGCAGAGAGTATCGCACTGGACGGAACAAACAGTAGCGTCGACAGGGAGCGTGCGTGGTCTTGATATGTACAGTCAAGCCACGCTATGCAATCACTAATCCAAACGACCACAAGATTTTCCTCCCGGAAGACAGTGAATGGCACCAACTCGAGTACTTTGCACCAGTTGAATTCGTTTTGCGCAGGAAACTTTGCCAGTTCGATTCTAATGTGCGCGCAAATGTCAGCCGAGTTTATACTCTGGGGTCCAATCAAGTCCGGAAATGACAACAGTTAACAACTACCGGCGCAGACTCGACAGCGTGTGTAAGCGCTGGTGTCCACCACCATTGACATACGTGGCGCGCACACTCAAGGTGAATTTATCATCTGCCGGTAAACTGTAGGCTGCCGCATTCATTACCATGGTTAGTTCTGAGTATATCCTTCTTGGTTTCAACCACATAATGTTTGTCCTGAAAGTTACGAGGCTGATTTTCTCGGGCCCACAGAGGGGCAGGCTGACGGAGTCCGCAAGTGTGACGGATAGCAGAGTGCGTTGGGTGAACTGATTTCCCATTAGTTGACTTCAAGTTTTTACAAAGCGCAGATCGCTTGGGAGGTGAACAGCTGTCTGTGCGTTGCATAGCGGCGATGATGCAGGGATATGTTGGTCGACGATAAGCAACAAAGTTTCGTGTAACGCTTACGAAATTTGCTACTACAAGGTTTGTCAACAAAGAGAAAGCTCATGGAAATGCTGCTTTATGGATAGCACAAGCGGAGCAAAATGTTCAGATGAGGGTAAGAAAGTGTCAAGGAAGAAGAAGATGCAGAATGTCCAATAAAGTTTCGTACTGCGATTAACGCAGATGCAAGGAAAAAGGCTCTGGGAGTTGAACAGGTGGGATTCAGAAATCTACTGGGAATGAAATCAGTAGGAGAGGATTGTAAACGTGAGAAATTTGTAAACAAACTGTTTCTTAGTGTTCTGATCGGTGAAGCCAGGAAATCATCACAGCTGTCAGTATTACACGTTAGCTACCGGTGACAAAAACACCTCAGTTATTATGTCGCAGTATAAAGAGATGTAGAGAGAAGCGACATACAAAACATTACAGAATACAATATAAAATCAACAAAGTAACAAGACGCCTAATGTCACATTAAGCATTACGTGTGAGAACGTGGCTAAAGCAGAAGATAAGCGGGAGGAAGCGAAAAGGGAAATCCCAACACGAACGCCGTTGGGACCGACTGTTCGCCAGGTCAACAAATGTATCCAACGAAACGTGTTCATCGTTCTTCCGACACCAGCCCGTCGTCGGGTGAAAACAAGCAACATCAAGATCGAAGTGAAAGTTTTCATTCCTCTTAACCAGGTTATCGCTTGGCCTCCCCTCCTCCTCTTCCATCCAGACGCACGGTGCGCAAACAGCATACGTCGCGGGAATCGGTGTGTTGGCATGCGCAACATGTGGCCCAGTCATCAAAGACTGCGACATAACAGTGTTGAGCGCCCTTCCTGCACCAAATACATGACGCCGAACACGCTCATTGCTCATGCGCTGTTCCCACCAGATATGAGCTAAGCTACAAACACAACCATGGTAAAACGTAACTAGCCCAGGTTTCGCACGGGTGTGTTATAAACTCTGCTCTTCAGGGCGACAGTGATATCGAGCCGATGCCACAGGTGGCGGAGACTGGCAGAAGTGCTCCGGACTCTTGCTAGAGTTTTATGCGATTTCATCTTCAATTTCAATGGCGCTGATATAGCTACCAAGGTACTTGAATTTCTGAACGATTCTAATTGATTTCCACTAAGGGTCAGCGCAGGAGTGGGTCCCTGTCAATCTTGGAAAAGGATTTTGCATTTCGAGGGTGCAAAGCAAAAGCATGAAACGAGTGACAGCCAGTCCTACTTGGCAAGTGTAGGATCTGTCGCAGATTAGGAAAATCTCGTCGAGGAACACAAAGTTAAGAATTCCATCACCTGAGAAGCAGCTACACGCCTTCCAGATCGTGTCAAGTGAACGCAGTCTCAATGACTTTGCCGATGGCGAAGTTGTAGAAGAAAGGTGATAGCGAGTATCCCCTAGAGATATTAAAGGGCGCGCGTAAAACGCTCCGATAAAGTTTACATACTTTTCGGGCATACCTCTCCTGAGCAGACAGTCCCGAAGGACGCATCAATCAAGCGAATCGAAGGCACCTTTGATGTCGAGGAACACGACAACGGTGGGTTGCCAATAAATATGGTGATATGCTCATCAGCTGTAAGCATACAATCCGTGGAATAGTGATATTGAATTTAAAAGGAAACAACGTCCAAAGTCATTCAATTTACGTTTGAAACGATCAAAGAACCTTGCAAGGTAATGCGAACCTAAACATAAACTCTGTCTGTTTGCACAAAGTGCGTGTCAGTCGCCGAATTGTGGGGCTTCAACAAACTGAAGCAGGCGAGTATAGCACTGTCGGCTAAATATTATGAAAGATTCGCGGGGATTTTAATATATGGAGTAGTCAAGAGTGTGTTGAACAATGGAATTAGCCAGCAGTTTGGGACCATTCGCGACCATAGTACGTGGAATACGCTCTAAAATCTTAGCCGACAGCCTTCGCTCAGTTCGGTTTATGTATTTGCTACCAAAAATACAATGAAGTGAGCGCGTAAAACGCCCTGATTTGATTCAAATAATGATCGGGCACACACTTGCTGAGCAGACTGTTCCAGAGAGTACGTCGATCCATTAAATAGAAGGCAACTTTGATTTCGAGGAACACAAATATGGTGGCTGCCCAATATATATGGCGATGTTTCAAAAACTGACGTAAAGGAGTGGTCGATGCAGCCTCGAGCTCGAAGAAACCAGAGTTTCTCCTCGCGAATCTAGCTTTGACGGGTACCATTTAGGCTTTGGAGGACGACAAACATCAGACTTATTACTCCATGACTGCCGCATTGCGAACGTGATACTCCCTTGAAAACTGGGACTATAATGCAGTGGATTCAGTCGATTGGGAGAGTTTCCTGCTTTCACTCTGGCCTTCACCACCTGCCAAACATTCTCGATCGGATTGAGGAACGGAGAGTATGGGCTCAATCTCAGTATGGTTACTCCATCGTATTCATCTACTGACGACAGTTCTTGCAGTTCTGTGTGACATGGTGCATTATCACATACCACGACAACCTGCCGGAGATCCATCTCCCGTTTCAGGTTGTCTAAATAGCTTCGCAGCCATTCGAGAGATAGGGGACCTGTGAATGAGCCTCTCCGGGTAGTTATCAACACTATCCCTTCCATTGTGAGTGCACCGATTTAATGCAAATTTAGGCCTCTACTGTGGACAACTTTGCAACAGGTCGTCACTCCTCTGGACGCCCGACCATGAGTACGTTTGCAGCAAACGTTGAAGTTCGCCTCGTCAATCTAAATGAAGAACTTGTCATCGCTCTCAAGTTGGAGAAACTGCTGAACGAATTCCCTGCGTATCCCTTTGGTTCGCTCATTGTTCATTCCCTCGGGAACCTGATAGATGTTCTTCATAGTTATCAATCGACCATCTAAGTGTCGTGCGATTGTTGACTTCGAAATGTCCTTATCCATTGCGGCTCGTACTCGTACTCGCATTTCCCGTAGCGTAAGAGTTGAGTCCTTTGCGATCCAATCCAGGATGTCATCTACGTCTTCCTCCGACAAAATGCGCTTACGACCACGCGCCTGCGTAGTACTCGGCTCCTGATCAAGAGAACGACGAATCCAGGAGTAGGGCGTTTGATGTTTGACGTTGTTCACAGCTGCCACCAGCTGCCAGTCATAACCGTTGACGAAAGCGTCCAAAACTCGGTCACGAATGTCTGATGAGATACTCTGGCGAACGCGAGAACGTATACCGACGACGTTAGTATCATAGGCATTGTTTCGGTCGTGCGCTTATGTTCCAGCAGTTCACTGCGCTCAGACCAATTGTGATCCATCGTTTCGGACGTGAGGGGGGCGCATACAAGCCCGTTGCACCGTCAAAGTGCATTCCTCTAAGGTTCATTCACAAGTCTCACCCAGTCAACGGGCAGCGCGCTCACTTCCCCAGACTAACGCACCGAACCTTGGCATCCGGC